TAACTAATATAAAGGTGTGCGGCTGCTGTGGTGGGGAAAGGTGAGGCTGAATTTACAACGGAGTTTAATGGAGACATGTTGAACGTTTTTGTCAATTTATGCCCTCAAGAGGCATTTTCTTTAATCATTTTGCTTAATTTTTTGTTTATCTTTCAAGCTACGAGATGTTTTCCTACGTTCGTCATGAAAAATTATGTCTCAGGAATGTAGGGTTTGGGAATTATGGCAGGGTTAAAAGAAAATATGAAGGCAAAATTAAATCTGTCCTCCACTCTAGCTGTGACATTACGCACTCTAAAATCTGAAGAAGGCCTCCTTACCAAGGTCTGAACAATGTTTAATATCTCTAAAAGTATGCGTCCGATTTAAAAGTTGTGTTACACGAATAATGTCAGAAAGATGTGTGACATTTTAAAGTTGGAATGAGGTTTCTGAGTGAAAGTATGAAGGAGCAGTTAGCAGTTGAAGACGGAGCAGCTAGCAGTTGAAGTTGCATGAAGATTTTTGAAGTCTGTAGAGTTCTCCATTGACTTCCATGTTAAAAATTGGATGTATTATGGGATGTATCTCTGGAATTATGAAAGTTATGAAGGATAAAAGTAATAGCCATTGATTCCCGACCGAGCTGAATGTTTTGATGTTTGAACGGAGTTTCTGCGATGTTCAATGTGGGAGAAGAAGCACCGCAAAATAACCCGGCGGAATAATAAAGAATTTCGTACGTAGCATAACAGATAGTTGGAATGCTGTGTCAGCATTCCAACTAAATGAGAAACAAAATCTAGTAACAGAGGTTGTGTATCACACAATGACTGTAATGTCTGATGCGTTGCTGAGTTGTATTTGTTCATTACTGTATTCTTTATACTGCATGTTTTTTTGCTCCTACTTTGAAGTACACCAGGAGAAATCATATTTTCCAGCATTTGCTAGTGAATGCATGCTGTATAACAAGCAATACCATCTAAAAGTTGTTTATCACAAGGGCATGGTTGGTTTCAGTCAGACGGCTTTTGTATACTTGACTGGTCTGTCTTGCTTTTGATCATGGAGAAGCAGTGGCGTTTTTATATGTACAAAAGTGGTGGGGCACGAACAACTTATATTTAAGCTTCTGTTGCTTTTTTAAGCTTTTTTAAACAAATAGCTGTAGGCTATCCATGGTTAAGATAGAGAGAGGGGGGGGGGGGAGTGTCAAATGACTACTGTCAGAAGCCTTGAATGAAGCACACAGAGCAACACAGTGAGCGCATACATTTACGTACACAGCATGGGGATGTTATTGTAATGCACCTTAGAACATGGAGTAAACCATCACAAAGCAATACTTAACAATAACAACAAGCGTAATGTTTCAGCATTAAAACACCATAGACTGTAAAAATAAGGAAAACACAGACACTCATCACCGAGGTCGCAATATCAATCGATCCAGCAGAGCAATAGCATCTTGGCAAAACACAGAAGATCAACAAAAGATATGACATAAAATGAACTGCTGAAGTAGATGGTCAACTTCATTCATTTATTTTGCGTTTTACTGTTTTTAATCGCTATACGCTGCTCTCTCTCGTCTCCTCTTCACAAGTACACTTTTCACGGCACACATACTTACAGCCAATCAGCTCTGAATTATGAGATGACGTTTTGGTGGGGTTGCCATCACTTTGCCCCACTTGTGATTATTTTTTTGCCTCACACATTGAATACAAAAAGACGCAATGAGTATGCGCAGTGTAGTTTTTACAGCACCCATTCATTTTGACAGCAGAGAGAGGGGCTAGATCAGAGCTTGTGCCACATCGCTCAACACGGCTCAACACTGTTGAGCCGTGTTGAGCGATGTGGCACAAGCTCTGATCTAGCCCCTCTCTCTGCTGTCAAAATGAATGGGTGCTGTAAAAACTACACTGCGCATACTCNTGATGTATAATAAGAACTGGATACAGCGTGGGAAGTGGGGCCTCATTCATTCCTATGAGAGTTGCTCATTGGCGCATGATGATAAAATGGNTTTGGTGGGGTTGCCATCACTTTGCCCCACTTGTGATTATTTTTTTGCCTCACACATTGAATACAAAAAGACGCAATGAGTATGCGCAGTGTAGTTTTTACAGCACCCATTCATTTTGACAGCAGAGAGAGGGGCTAGATCAGAGCTTGTGCCACATCGCTCAACACGGCTCAACACAGCTCAATACGGCTCAATAGGCACACTGTGGACACTAATCGGAAGAACGCAGTCCGAAGCAGCAATGTAGAGACGAATCAGACGACTAAACATGATCTTAAAATATATTTTAACATATTTTATATATATTTTTGGAATTATTATTTTAATAAATTTCTGCTGACAGTAGGTGGGGCTGCGCCTGCTCCTAATGACGAGTCGCCACTGTGGAGAAGGGTGTGCTGTATTTTACAATGGTTCAACCAGACTGACAATTAAAGGCAAAAGAGACAAATATGCCTCTGAGCAACAGTTGAATAAGAATATAAAAACAAGCAGTCATTGGTCAAATAAATTGTAAGCTTAGCATCAAGATGTGTGCAGAATTTAAAATAAAACGGGTTCAGTGTCAGGTGCACAATAACGCCTCTAAAAAGCTAGAATTAACTGGGGTGCTGCTGTAAAATCGGCCTTTATTGAAGGAAAAAGACAAACCTCAATACAACAGGGGATTCAAAACATATTGGTGCGCATATATTATAACAAACACTCCTTCGTAAGAAGGTAAAACCTAATCATTTGCCGACTATGCATTTGTCCATCTTGAGTCCTTAGGCTGCAGAAATAGGAGATCCTGACCAGTTGGCCATTCTGTCTCAAAGACTTCTTATTTTCTTACCACTCACGGGATACAAGGACCATTAATGGCATGGCATGCCAAGCATTAAAGCTCTAACTCATGTCAGTCAGTGCTATACATGACAGTTGCAGTGGGATTATTTACTCACAACCGCGACAGCTTTAGATGCACTGAAAGACATATTTATTTCAGCTTTCTTATGTCTTCATCCAAAACATGTCAAGCAAAAGTAGTGAACCTAAATTAGCTATATTGAACACAAGTTAAAGGGTATGTCGTTCGGGTTAAATGTAGGCCTGATCCAAGGTCAAAAGTTAGTCTTGTCTTCTAAGTAGCTGGTCCACTTTAAAGGTGCGAGATAAAAGAACATGGTGGCACTGGATTGACACTTCCTTGGCAGACGTGTATGTCATCACTCTGGTTTCCCCCCTTCTTGGTCTTAATGTTTCTATAATTACCCTTCCACTGATAGACTTCCTGAGGTGTCTCATGACATGCAATCAAACCTAATGTCAGAGACTAAATCCTCAAACATCTCAATGGGCACTCGCCAGGAAAGTCATAGCATGAACTGTCTGTTTCTACACCTTGTTGTCAGCCTGACTTCCAGGTGCTGAACGATTCAGTCCCCTTTGTGGCTCCCTGCTCCATCTTGATGTTTCTAGCATGGTGGAGGAAGTCCAGCTAGAAACTGAGTTCCCCCTCTTAATGTTTCACTTTGGTGTCATGAATTCAGCCCCTGGAGATAATTGACAAGAGCACTGATATTCCCCCTTGACCACCACCTCCCACCCCCTCTACGCCAGGAACGTGTCATTTAAGCCTTTGGAAATGCTGCGTTCATTCTGTTGGATTTATTTCAGATCTGCAGAACTGAGGCAGTGAAGGGTTGGGATAGTTTAAGAAGTTGTTAAATCTCTTAATGTCACAGTAGTCATTGACACCATATTATAATAGAGAAGTGTTGTAGTACACATACTTAAATGGAATGTAAACTCCTTTTAGGTTCACAGAAATATAAACTTTCTGCCATTTAAGTGTGTAAATGCATAACAATCGGAGATGAATCATCCAGCTTGTTATTTTATATCATGTAACAGCTGAGTGGAAGAAAAGTGCAGCATGTCTTTATTTATAGTCTGTGGTAATCACATTATGATTCTAAATTTCCTTTGAGATTGTGAACAGCAAAGTTCAGTGTCACGTCCAACTTTTTTTGCAAACATTAAACTATAGAGTTATATAACAGTAAATGTAATATTTCGTTATCTTATCTTTCATGATAGTTAAGTTCCGTGGTCCCTGAGTCTGGTTTACACTAAAAGATGTGTCGGAGCATGACATTTGATTAACAAGCTACAGAATTTATATCACAATTTAATCGGAGCTGATCACAACTTGTCACAGATGATCTAGTCATCTCAATGCTGCTTTCGGGCTGTGAATAAACAAATTGTGTTTTACTTTTAGGCTGTCTGAAGGTATGGACAGCTATCAAAGCTACTATACATCACATTAAGAACGATGTACAAATGAAAGTTGGACACAAATATATAATTTAAATGATTTATTCAAGTTTGCAATGTCACCTACTTTGTAATTTCCGATACCTCCCTGGAAGCGTCACGATATCGACCTCTCACCCACAACCTCACATACGAGTACTGAATGTGCACCAAAGTGATCCTATGGAGGCAGATATAGCAAAAGATGAATGTAAACGACAGACGAGGCGATCGAAATGTTTATTTCCTGGTAACTGAACAATGAGTTCTCAATGTACACGTCCCCGATACATCTGTCTAAAATAATAGAATGACGCCAGTTGTCATGACTCTAGTTATACTGTAACACCGGCACGAAACATACTACCAATATAAATACATTGCTCTTAAAATCGTTCTGTGTGACACGAAAAAAAGGGGAAAATAGTGTTAGTGAACACGAATCAATAGATTACATTTCGTAAACGAAATGCCGTGAGAATGGGTTGGATGTAAGGGTGTACTGGACAACATGACATCACTGCTGTTTACATGTGCAACAAGCACATTTCTGACTAAATTAAACCACATTTTTATTTTCCTCCTGGATTTTATTTACTCTTTAAAAGGTCACCTAACATACCAATATACCATGTTAGGTACCATTTAGAATCTGTCTGAAAAGTTTTTCATTGTTCATTATATGAATCCAGCCTCTCTTCTCTTTGTCTGTCCATGTGTCCTAACAGTGAAGCTGTTTCCAATCACCTGTGAGATCATCAAAGGAGAGAAACAGTTTTACTACAGATCTCAGCAGTTCTATGAGGACGTCCCCGCCTCGGAGGAGGGCATGCTGGGAGATTTTGTGGAGATATGCAACGTGGATCTGGAGGCTTCCCGTGAGTTTCTGAAGAGGTTTGTGGTGAGTCACAAGATAGCAACTCACATTCAAGTTCTCGAGTCTCAAAGAAATCTGTTAAACTGATAAAGTAACAACAGTACATTTTGCTTTGCTGTTTCTACATAATAAAGGCTTTACTGCGACTTCTAAACACTGTGCACGTGTGTATCCAATCCATTAACACTGTTGCAGCTATCACAAAATATATGTCACAATCTATTATGGGTGAGGAATCTTTCTTACTGCATAGAAAATAATTTCACGTGGGACGAGGCCTCAGTGCAGATTATAATAGTAGCTCAGACTTGATGTCAGCCCCATAAACACCAAAACAAAACAAGACAAGCTAGGGTCAGTTTTTATACGTTCACTCATTTACACTTATTCACATATCTTGTTTGTTTAATTTGTACAAAACAATTTATAACACAACAAGTTTGCTATATCACTTTTTTTTTGACTAAATGTACTTCAGTATATGTCCTTAAAAGGTGTAGCTTTACTTATATAAATGACGTCATCATTTTCAGCTTCCTATACTTGTCACAACATTCCTCCATTCGTGCACACATGCATCTTGAGCATGTATGTATGTATGTCAGAGTTAACTTAAAGTTTTTTTAGATGTTGGGAGAGCCCAAGTGCTAATTCCGGGGAATGGGTTTGGCCCAGGGACAAGGTTATTTAGAGGATCAGTTTTACAGAAGCTCTAATTATAAACTGCTAAGATCGGATATTTTGAAGGAATTGCAGATGGCTAAGTAGCTACATTTTACTTTTAAACACTACAAGCCCCTATTAAACACATCTTACCATTACTGGTTAATACAATGCAGCACACTGTTTATGTTTATGTTAGATGTTAGAGTTCTGTCTGACACGAGAACATGATTGCTTACAGGGATAGTCTATTACCATACATTGGAAGTTTAGCTGAGCTGTCATTTCAGAAACTACGACTGGGCTGGGCCACAACTATTGATTATTTTCATCAATCAAGTTGTCTATAAAATGTCAGAATACAATTGATGATAGTTATAAAACAACACATTTCTCTCCAAACAGGATGAATTACAAATCAAAGGCCTAATTTCAAAGCTGAAAGATTTGTAGTTCATCTGTATTTCTTTTGTTAGTCAAGAATGGCCTTTTTCAGCACATGCTAAATATAGGTTTTTGTCAAACTGCCTTTTATCACTAATGTATTTCGTAACATTTTGATATTTAAGATCTTCTTGTTATTGACTACACCATTCTTGTAATGTGGGAGGAAAACAAGTAATTGTATAATATTGTATAAAACCAATAAAGTTAGACAACAAATTGACAGAAATGCATAATGCATAATTTTGTTATAGAAGTGTTTTGGTTAATGTTAATTTCTGTCTGGACATCTGCACTGGGATGATGTTAAAGCCAGTGGGCAGCAGCACTGCCAGATGCTGGAAATCCAATAATCGTAGAGACAACACGACTGCCATACTTCAGGAAAAAACTATTGTGCATTCATATCCATTTGTGAAACAAAAATAGTCTTTAAGGAGCTTTAAAACAGTGAATGTTCTTAAATAATAGAGTTTGCAACTTCCTATACTTGTGTGGTCCATCTCTCTTTAAAGGGATGAACTTCATTTTGAAATTTGTGACTTATAGTGGTTGGTGTTTTTTTTTTGGTGTGCATCTAATAGGTAGAGTTTATTTCCTAACATGAATAAATACAAAATAAAGTGTCCAAAGGTTTGTCTATTTTCCACCATCTCTTCTGCAAATGTGTGTTCAGTTACACATCCTCCTCCCTGGCTGTCAGCAGCTCCTGTTTAAAGTTGACAGGGCCATTCAAACAAGTTGGGGAAGGAAAAGATTTAGAATACATTCAGATTAAACTGAGCTACATACGCACTGAGCAATATGGCAGTAATTCACCGAAACCAGGAAACCTCCTGCAACAAGCACAGAGCTCCTCGGGGCCCCATCTTTCAGCCCAAGATGTGGAGGGGTTGGAGTGAGGTCAGAATACCAAATGAAAAAGGAAGAAAACCAAGCATGATTCAAGTGAGGTGACTTTTTGTTTCTTTCATGGTGAAGTTCATAGTTTCGTTGCCCTGAGGAACTGAGGTCAACTTGTTTGTGCTGTCGGTGCTTTTGAGGGAACATGCCTGACATCTGGCAACAGAAAATTAAGTATAGATTCCTGATTTAAAGATATGGTAATAACATGCTACAAGGAAACTGACATTTAAATGTACTTTTTGTTTTCTGTGAAACATGAAACATATTTGTTGTGGTTTCCTTAAAAATAATCTTAATTTGGAAATGTAACAGATTATATTATCCTCTGAATAAGCCTCTAAATAAGGTTGATTTATACTACAACGTGGATACAACTATGAATGTTTAATACCGTTTGTTTACCCACAGGGTCCTGGTAAGGCAGGCACACAGTGTGCCCTGGACTGTGGCTCAGGCATCGGCCGTGTGAGCAAAGGCGTCCTCCTCCCTGTGTTTGAGAAAATGGAGCTGGTGGACATGATGGAGCACTTCCTGCTCCATGCTCACGAGGAGTACCTTGGCGATGATGCCGACCGCATTGAGACCTACTACTGCTACAACCTGCAAGACTTCACACCTCCAAAAAACAAATATGACGTCATCTGGATGCAGTGGGTGGCATGTAAGTATTAGAGGTATCTCAGTTGATTGTATCTCTTTACTAACTTATTATTTAAAGAGCACAACCTCACTCGTATTGGACGCAAGTCGCTGCATTCCAAAGCACACCGAGTTTTGTTTTCAGCAGCTCTGTAGGTCAATTGATAGCTTGTTTAGGTTAAAGTCTACTAATTATCCAATTTACTAAAAAAAGTTATTCCTCTAGGACAGAATCATTTAGGCACTACCACTTCCTCTTCTGTAATTATGAAACACAATTACCCCATCAGTTGGAAATATGGACTCTTAGGATTAAAAGGAAACTGAGCCTGACTTTTTATTTACCAGTTTATCTGTGGTCCATTCCTCACCTCCAGTGGTGAGTCGCCAGGGCCCTCTAGGCTCTCTCTGAGGGCCTAAGATATTCTACAAAATAATATTTAAAAACATTAAAAATATATATACATATATTTTTTTATATATTTTAAAAAAATATTTTTTTAGTTATATTTTTCATTAGTTTTACCAAAATAAATGTATTTAATGGTATTTAAAATAACATTTCCAAATAAATAAATCCTTCAAATCTGCCTATTCAGTTCCTGTTGGAATGTGAAGGGTTAAATGAAAGAAGCTCGTCTCTGCGAGTTACTGTGAAGACAGGAGCTGATTGGTGGTCCATCTATGAATTCCCAGAGGGCCCACTATAGTAACTCAACGAGAGAGTAATGTCAAATGACAGTACAATTGACCAATCATATCTTCCCTCTAAATGGGTGGGATTTATTATCGCAGACTTTATGACAAGTTCCGCCCGCTGTGAAGCTTTTCTCCGTGACGTTGTTTCCATAGCAACAACAACTTCCTGTCAACAGCGTAAACTCGCTTTTGTCCTTACAAAATAGGAAGCCAAGCCAAATTACACTTACATGTAAAAGGTAGGGTAGGTAAGAATGGAGAAACCAGCTCGAGTGCGCTAGAATTTGCACAGATGAAATCTTTGTATGTATTTATTGTCAAAGCATTTCATGTATTCATTGCTATCGGGATGTTAAGAGCATTCCATGGAATATAACAAAAAGTGTTTCTGAAGTTATATTAAGACATATAAACAACTACAATGAAAGCAACAAACACAATACAATATCCTTTTCATTTTCAAAGAACACAAATTGGGTTATTTACAGGTGTTGTTTTGTGTGGTAGAGGGTCGCTGTCATTGATGCGTTTTGCACCCCGGACCGTTGTTTTGATATTCCGCTGAAGTATACGTTGTAACGTAATAACTATTTTCTTTTCTTTTTTTTCGAGGGAGGTGGGGGTCAGAGGCCCTAGGTATAAAAGTCACGTCTCGCCACTGCTCGCCACTGCTCACCTCTGTTCAAAAGCTTCAGATAGTGTCGAACAAAAAATAATATTATGGGTCATGGCAGGCACAATGTCCCAAGGTGTCTGAGCACCAGGAATGAGCTTGGTGTACAACCACTGTTATGAATGCAGGAAAACTCTCAGTGGATACATAAATTAGGCCTCGAAACGTGTCAGGGTCCTCCAGAGGATGCATGACCTTGTTTGCTTTTTGTGAGAGGAAATACCAAAAAAATAAAAATTATCTTTTCTCTTGTGACTTACCTTCCTTAAGACTGCAGTAGGTCAGCAATACATAAGGAAGATGCTGGGGAAATATTTTCCTAGGCCCATAACTTTGACCCAGTTTATCAGTTTGTACAGCCCTCACTGAGCACAGGCCTGCAACCTTGCGCTGCTGTGCTCTCATTGTTTTGTCTCCCTATTCCTGCTTGTTGGCGTCAGCTGATAGAGGTGTTATTGTGCTTTGCCTGTTTTATCTTGTTGTGCACAATGTTGATTATTCTCTCAGAACCAGCTAAATACATGGGACTGGGGAAAGATTCTTCAGAATTTGTCCGTCAACCGCTGTGTCACCTCGTGGCTGCAGCACATGTCTTGTCAATTCTCCGGCCGTTAACTTCATAATAAATCTTCAGTTTTTGCTATCAAGCCCCAGCTCTCCCATTGCCTCACTGAGTTTCGTCTCCATTGCTTCAGGAGTTTCCATCACAGAAGAGTGCTGTTGACTCTATCTACTATGATGTATACCATTTGGGGATTGTTATTATCCTTTCTGTTTTTCTCCTTAGGCCACCTAACAGACAAGGACCTGATGAACTTCCTGATGCGCTGTAAGAAGAGTCTGCATCCAAACGGTGTCATCATAATAAAGGACAATATGGCGCGGCAGGGTTGCAAGCTGGACCCAATCGACAGCAGCATCAGCCGCCACCTGGACATCATGAGGTGCATCATCGACAAGGCCGGCCTCGAGGTCCTGGCTGTAGAAAAGCAGGAAGGCTTCCCTGACATCATCATGCCTGTCTGGATGATTGCAATTAAGTAGTGACATCATAACCCTCAGAGGGAAATCCAACCTTAATCTGAATGCACACGTTTTTCCTCTTTTGTCTGAGTCTATATTTTTGATCAGGTCTCGAAAAACTACAACACCACAGCAAGAAATCTTCCAAGTGCTCAACAGCAGATAAATCCTGAAACCGCCGTGTGGAGTGTGTTATGGCACCCGGGGAGATTTTATGGAGACAGGAGCTATTTTTCTGCACAGCCCAGAAGTAAAATAAAGGTTTTACGTGGACATTAACCTTCTACAGAGGCACTCTGTACGTCCACCAAAGCTAGACTGTAATTTATTGTCGGCCGACCAACTCCGGGGTCTGTATCGTGATGACATTAAAGGTGGACCCTCAGCTCTCTTGAGTTGTTCCTGTCTCAACCACGAGGATCATTGGAATAACATGTGGACTAAGATGGTTTGTCTGCCAAGTGAATGATTTGTATCCCGTTAGACACTAAATCCAGCATGTTACATTACAAGGACAGCACTCAGCCATAATGTACCATGTTAGATTTCTAAAAAAAACGATATTGCTTTATGTTTTAAACATGGTAACTATTTTAAACTATATATTTATAAGAGTTTCTTGTTATATGAATTCTCAACCCATTGTAATATGATCTGAATTTAAAGTTGAGCGGGGGAACCTGTTAACAAAGGTCATGTGACAAAAATATCAGTAGCCTAGGGGTCAGTCTCACAATTCTGTTCCCTGAGAGAGCCAAATCGCTTTCTTTATTGGAAATAGTATCCTTGCTCTGCACAATGCTGAACTTCCTACTACTTTTTTTTTTTCTAACACTACCTTGCTTTTCTAGGGTTTTGGAAAGTTTCAAAAATATTAATCCTTCAATGATTTAGAATTAATATAAAAAATATAAACCTGAAATTGAGCATAATATGTCCTCTTTAATAACGGTTGGAGATGAGGTCCTAATGTCACCTTTCAGTGCAACATGTAGTTCTCTGTTCACATTGTATTGCAGGAGAAATACTGTTCATTCAGTGCACTCAGTACAAGCTAGTCTGGTGTAAATATTAAAACTTTATGTAAGTTTGTTTTTTTACTTTTGCTTGTAATATTGCAGATGAATAGATTCTTTTATATGGATTTCTTAATTTTTTCTTCTTTTATGTGTTTGCATTTAGACTATAAATTGCTTTATTTGCTTAAATACATTTTCTTGCACAATATCTACAAATGTGAAGATAAGAAAACCTTAATTTATTTATAACTTACTGTTTGTTTTCTTCAATGTAGCTCTTGCTTAGCTTAGTGTTTACTTACATTTTTCAAAAATAAAAAAATAACAATCTGAAAGCATATGGATGTAGTTTAATGATTTCTGAAATGTCCTTTTCATATTTTATGTTTTTCATCCCATGATCCAAACAAAGTTAATAGGATTAGAGATGGGTAATCGCCATTGGCTATTATAATCAAGGCTGGAACATAAATGCTGACCAATTTTCCCGAAATATTCCTACAGTTCAGCCCTTACAGTGACCGCGCTGCAATCTGCCACAGTGGGCTGAAAACGCACCAGATAATTGAGATCCTCTCCGATAGTTATGGTAATTCTCCTAAGTATTATTACTATTATTATTTTTTTAGACTAACTGTAGAGACAGCACATTGTGTTGGGCTAATGACTTTCAGCTGGGCCCCTGAGGTGGATGGGGGAGGGGGCTGATTATTTCATGGTTTTGACAGACAGTGCCGGCTTTCATATCTGCCTTGGCTTCATTTCAAGCCTGTCAGATGTTGTCTGCATAAAACACATCCAAAAGTCGCCTCAAATATTCAGCATTTGGGTGCGTGAGAGTGGGACGGGAGTGGTGCGGAGTTGTTCCTCCCTGGGCTTTTCTATGAAAGGATAGTTTGTCAATGAGTCGACTGGCACTGAGAAAGTAAAAAATCATCAAAGTGGTGAAGGCCCGATGGCGTGAGATGATCTCCATGGCATGTTTATCTGGTCAGAATGACTCTTTTGAGAGTGAATAGACCAAACACGTTTTTCCACATCTCGTATGAATTAAAGATCAAAATGCCCCAAAGTTAAACTTGTAAGTGTTTTTTTTCTCTCTCCCGCAGCAAATAGCAGCCAAATGTGCTGTCACCTTTTCAGGAGTGGTTAGCGTCGCTGACAGTCAAGGCTATCATTTCTAATACTTCTCAATGTTCTCTGCAGCGGCTCGGCAGCAGTTTGAATATATTAGCTGGAGTAACACTAATTTGTCCGGTCACGTCAGCAGAGCAGAGCTTTGGGCTTCATTCCAGACACAGTATATCTCAGACAGCTCTCAGAGACAGGAGGAAGACAGAGGGCACAGAGGGATGTGTGATCGCCTAAACATGTAATACATAATTCATTTGGGTAGCTTGTAATCCCAAAACCTCACTCACATCAGTCACATGTGCTGTGCATGCCGACATCATTAACTTTTCACTTTAAAGGTGCAATGTGCGAGATATGGTCAGACATTAAGTTTCTAAACAGAGAAATCTACAGAATTTGAAAAGTTTACATTATTATCGTTATGTAGAAGACATGTACAGTATGTGTTCCATAGATATCTAATGAAATTAGCATGCTAGCTGAGCCCAGGCCCATCCTATCTTGTGATAACACTTGTTAGATACAGTGCTGCAACAGCCCACTATGACTCCAAGCACTGGAGTTTGTGAGGGCTGAATTCAAATTGCATGGTCTGCTCTCCTGGAGGTGGAGAAGTTTCTGTACACTGACAAGGTTATGAAGGAATATTTGCACAATGACGTCCAAATACTGTATACTGCCTCCCCAGCCTTAATAACATCATCAAAAGAACATATTTAAAGGGAATATACAGTGGGGGACACATATTGGTGGGAATTTTGACCCTGCTTTTTGTACCCAAACCCTGTTGCAAAAAAAAAATGTATTATGTGATTAACTTTTCTTCTTAGACTTTCTCAAGCCTCATTACCAGGAAAACAAAGAAATTGACAAAAGGTTTTCAGTTCTTTCTAATTGTGTGATGTAATGAACACTGCAGCCTCTAGGGGGTGCTAACTGAGCCTCTTTACTCTTGCTGCGAACAATCACAAAGTGACGTTCACCCTACAGCTTCTACCCTTATGTGGAGATAGTGAAGACCCCCTAGGAAACAGCAAAGGCGTCATTTACAGAGCAGAGCCATCAGCTCAGACAGCCTGAAGCTTTCATCATGAACACACTGAGGCTTTGTGGAATCTGCAGCGGAGAGAAAACCTCAGTCAGTCTCTGGAGCCGGGACGGTTTCATTGAGACATAGAGGAGTAAGCCTAACCTCCAGTCTCTGGGAGAATCCACACCATGGAATTTGCTTGCTCTTCATCTTCAGTTGTCATAGTACAACATAACACAGAACAAAAATAGAACTGATGATTTTTGGGCTGCTTTTTCTTTGGCTACTCACGGGGGGTTTTAACTCTCCCAGCATGTCGTCGAGGGTGTGAGGGTGTTCTCTTTCCCCCCCCCCCCCCNCCCCCCACTCAGCTCTCCTCAGCTCAGAGGGCAGGGATTAAGGCCCTGACACACCTACCCGATTTTGGGAGTCAGAGGCCATCAGAGGCAGTCGGGAATTCGCGGCGCCCTACTCAGGTTGGTGTGTCCCGCACCGTCGTTGCTTTACAGCACATTTTCACACCTCCCGCGGCTGATTCAACATGTTGAATCGGCCAAAGAAAGTCGGCCAAAGAAATCACTCTGATTGGCTGTTGCCTCTTTTGAATGACGAATACACACTACCGCTGCCTGCTGGTAAGGACAGTTATTGCCACTCGTCGACTGAAGTCTTTGCGGTGTGTTCGCAGCAGGCAGCGGTAGTGTGTATTCGTCATTCAAAAGAGGCAACAGCCAANGGACCAACTGCTGGCTATCGTTAGTTTCTCCATCGTTATGTACAAACTGGATTTAAAAACGCCGGCTTTTTGTTGTGGTTCAGGATTGATCCCGCCCCGCCCCTGCCCCTGCCCCTGCCCCTGCCTTGACGTAAGCGTGACGTATGCGGTGCTTTTGCTCTTGCCGGACAACTTTTTGGTGCTTGAAACGAACCGGATTCCGGAGCTAAGAGGCTGCTCCGCTGCGGTGTGAAGAGGAAAACCCGGTGCTTTTCAAGCTCCAACTCCGAACCGGCCCTGAAACACCGTTGGTGTGAATGAGTTATGAGAGTTTACCTAGCAATGGGGATATCATTTTACTATCATGACAATCACAATTTAAACAGTGATATTCACATTCCCAGGAAGATGAATGCAGGGGAAACTTGACTGGCAGGATTTTTTTTTGCACGTTTGCTTCTACTTCATTGTACTATTCTATATGAAAAATAAAAAGTTGTCAGATAAGAAACATATATATGCAGATTTGGGGGATATTGTGCTTTCAAATCAGTTTAGGAAGGAATGAAAATAGAAAACCAAACCAAAAAAACGGAGCCTGTTTGGAAAAAATAAATGTGTATTTAATTTCAGTCTTAGGATAAATATAGGGCAGAAAAATGGCCAATATTATGAAAAAGTTCTGGAGACTCAAAATGTCAGAAAGCTACAAAACTTGAGTAAATGTACTGTGTTATTTTCCACCTCTGATGCAACACACACACTCGAACACACACACTTGACTCCCAAACACACTTGACTCCCTAAAGACACACAACACGCTCCAAACCTCTACTCCGCCTGGCTCTCTGCTCTGACTCACGTTGGAAAAAAAGATTTAATCATAGGAGTAAATTGGCTCGGTGGAAAATGATTCGTTGGGGCATAATGTGCATGTGCGAGCTATTTTGGCTCATTACGCAGTGATCTGAAAGGTTATGGAATTGAAACCAGCATGAGGGACGAGGCTTCCAAGGGCAACGAGAGCGCAGGGCCCCGAGAGCGGCTCCACATGTTGTCAGACAACACACTACCACAGCAACACAGAGGGGGTTGAGGCGGTATGAATTGTGGGTAGCCCATATCTAATTGACTGGTTCTGCTTAAAAAAACAAACCTCAGTCAGAGGAATAAAATGAGGTGTTTGTTGTTCTAAATTATCCTGAATTAATGTATACACTTTCACTTACCACACAAACACCCACACTCATACAGTACACACTCACACATGGATGCCATCATCTGTGGTGTTAGTTTCCAGCTGTAAATTGCTGCATGCTTTTTTTACAGGAGAACACTAAATATGGACAAAAATACGTAGACACCCATAATATTTCACAACATGTGATCGTGTGTAACATCATGGTGATAAAAGTGCTCCTATAACATAATTCATTGGTTTAAGCCTTTCCAAAAATAATTTGGACAACAACAAATTCTCTAAGTTAAATGACAAAATAGACCCTTCCCCCACATCCTCTCAAACAACACCTAACGGCAGTATCTATCAACAAAAACATGTATGTGCCGTGGAGAGCTGGAAATCATCAGTTCTAAAAAATAAATCTGTTTTATGATGTGGTAACTCTATGGCTAAGGTTGGTTAATTTTAGGAAAGTATCTTGGTTTTGGTTAAAAATATTACTTTGTAAGTTGAGGGGAGCTTCGTCATCATGGTTACTATAATAAGCATGTGGTTTAAGTTGTGAAACCATGGTGGTTTTAAAAAAAAACAACAACAATATTGACTGTCTGTTTGAAAAGAGAAACGTGTTTTAGTTCATCCCAAAGGTTTTTGATGGGGTTAACGTCACAGCTCTGCGTTGGCAGTCAAGTTCTTCCACACAAAACTGGGCAAACCATTTCTTTATCATGCCTGTTGTCATGATTACACACCCAACGATTTAACAATCGTGTGAAACCAGCCCATTGCTCTCCTTCTATCATCTAAATCTATCATCATGATCTCTCCTAGTTTGGGGCAAGTACGACGTTACCTACGGTGTAACATCGGCACTCCCTAGTTCCCTACAGTGTAACAACGGCATTCTTGTTCCCCTGCGTGTAACATGGGCACTCTCTCGTTCCCAGTGTGACATTGGTGCTCTTTCGTTCGTTATGGTGTAACATTAGCACTCTTGTTCCTTAGTGTAACATTGGTGCTCTCTGGTGCCCTAGGGTGTAACATAAGCACTCTTGTACCCTAAGGTGCAGCATTGGGCTCTCTGGTTCCCTACAGTGTAACATCAGCAGTCTTGTTCCCTATGGTGTAACATCTGCACTCTCGTTCACTGTAGTTAATCATTGTTGCTCTCTTGTTCCCAACGGTGTAACATCGGATCCCTACGATGTGACATCATCAATCTTTCGTTCCCTCAGTGTGACATTGGCACTCGAAAATGAATATTGTATTAAAACATTTTTAAATATGAACTTACCTAGGGCTTATGCCTTTTTCAATGAACAATGTTTGAGACAAACAAACAAAAAGTAGCCCATTTCAACCACATAATTGTTTTTGTTTATAAATATATAGTTTTTTCTGTTGTGCAATATGTTTGGATAACTAACAGAACACTCTCTCTTTCTCTTTAAAGCCCCAGATGGGAATTAATTCCTCCTTTTTTTGTTGTTGTAAGCAACGTTTTCTGTCAAATGCTAATGAGGAGGCAGTTCATTTTTTGTCAGAGAAATTATTCCTCCTATTATTATTTCACAGTCTCATTCCTAGTGAACACAGTTTTAGTAATCATAGGGTAAGCTATATTTAGCTGAAGCTGGGACATACTGGATGTCTGTATTAGAAAGTCTTTGTTTGGCTCACAAATTAAAGGTGACCTATCATGCAAAATGCAATTTTGTACGTCTTTTATACATGAATATGTGTCCCCGGTGTTCCAGGGAACTCACCAAGTGTCAGAAAACACAAGCCTCTCTATTTTCCTCCATACCCAAATCTCTTAAAAAGGGGCTGCAACGGATCTGATACAGACTGATCCAGATTTGAACACTTCTATGACGTCACAGAAGTGGCGCTACGGCTATTGGGCCAACTCCACCAATCAGGAGGAGACAGCCACGGACATTGCCGTTCGAAAGCNAGCCGGCGTTTTATCCAGTTTGTACATAACGATGGAGAAACTTAACA